AGGCCCCCCCCCCCCCCACACACACACACAGAGACTGTATAGAAGGAGTATGGCTCTGCCAACACTTTGATTTTGGACTTATGGCCTCCAAAACCACAAGAGAATACATGTCCATTGTTTTACGCCACCCAATTTGTGGTACTTTGTTATAGAAGCTCTAAGAAGAGAATACTTCCATCCAACTCCAATGCCAGCCTACTGCTCGTGGACTCCCCTTCTTACCATCACTGCTTTGTTGAGTCACCATCACCACGTCTGCTTTCTCCAAAGCCAACTCATCATTCTCTCGGGGTTTGTAGGCTCGAAGGCACTGCACTTGTGGGGAATCTGGAAGAGAAGAGTGTGAAGGGAAGTTAGGAAAGGCAAGTGACTGGAACATGGAGAAGGAATTGCAGGGGGAGGCTGGGAGGACTTGAGATCGAGAAAGTCTGCGTTTTTGAAAGTTACAGACAAAAGAGACAATTGGAAAAGTCTTCATCTTCTACCAGGAATGAAATGGTTGACAAGGAAATACAAATACCAGAATTCAAATAAATAAAAAATTCTATTTCTGTGGGGAAGATGAATTGAGAAATACATTGGGAACAACTTTAGTTATTATTAATATGACTCATTATTACAAATACTCCAGATCCATTTTCACTCTGAAAGCTTTCCTGACTCTTTAGTCCTCAGTGGATACTGAACTTCAAAACTGCTCATGTAGGCCAGACCATTTATCCTCTACCTAATTATTTTATGTATGTGTTCTGGGTCTGCAAATAGATTGTAAAACCTGAGTCTGGGACTCATTCTTTATTTTCTTCATGCTACTCAACATGGGTCTGGAAGAGACTTAACCAGTGGGGTTCCAGATTTAAGAAGGCACCGAATCCCCTTCAGCTTCAGTTTCCTCCCAGGTACATGACTAGGTTGATTAAGAAGATTCTTGAGAAAATTCTGGATCAGGAAATTCCTACAGTTTTGAAGCTCAAGGTTAACAAGCCTCAGAGTATTCTTGACCCACAAGCATTCCATCATCTATGGGTTTATTGCTCTTTCTACTTTTCTGGCTGTACTAGTGCCCTCAGAAAACAAACAGAACACCACCTAATTACCTGCACTTCTTCTAAAGTCATCCTCTTTGCCATTCACAGGGTCACAGTGAAGGAGGAAGAGTTATCTTGCCTCTCTTACCAACCCAATAGAACTGAAGCCCAGCGGATGATCACACAGTGAACAAGTAAACAGAACTGAGTTTACAACCGGGCTCTCCTACTTCCGTTTCCAGATTCCCTTGTATTTGTTCTTTTGTTTGAGTCACCAAAGGTCCTGTCTTCCTAGAAGTTTAGCTCTTTTTGGATACGGATTAGGGAATCCTTGCTGGAGGACTACTATGGAGCTTATAGAAGACCCATAACTTCAGTCTTGGCGTGAATGCAGACACATTCATAATTTGTTTGTGTCTGTGGCTACCAGTGAGTATCTGGAAGCCTGGAGTAAGAGCAGTGGTTTCTTCATCCTCTATAGGAGCAGGGTGTGCTTAAGACAAAACTACTGTTTGGATATTTTCCCGTAACTCCCACTCTAGCCCTACTTTCTTCATTTCCCTGAGACCTTCAAGCAGATAACATCCAGTCCCCCTCCCACCTAAAAAAAGGCAGGATAGACTTAAGGGGCCAAATATTTCAAAAGAGCAAACTACTGCCCCAAATAGGGATTGCATGGGGTTTGCAGCATTGCCATGGTGGTGGGAAGTTTTAAGCAGATACATCTCAGGTGTTTAACCTCCAATGGGCAGCTTCTACCATGAAATTCTGGACAAAAGCAATAAATGGAAGCCTCCCCAAGTTACCATCTAGCCCTCTAAACTCCTGCCTCTAGAGGAGACTCCTGACCCTGCCATTTTTCTCTCCCTCACTTACCATAACACTCCAGAAGGTCCAACTCCTCTCTTGGCATGGCCAAGGCAGAGATCCATCGAAGCTTTTCACTTCTGAGAAAACAAAGGAGGGTCATTGTTCCAGCTGCAGCTCATGACTGTGGGAAGACTTTCTAATTCAGTGGTATTTAGGGAAAGTCAATGGGATTCTGCTTGGCAGGAAATATGACAGGATCTTGATCTGTATGTTAATGTCTTGCCATCCTTTATGTTTCCCCTTCTCTTTCCAAGTTTATCCTGTCAGTGGCATCTCGTATCTTTCAAGTGGGGGCATAAAGTCAAATGTCAGTTATAAACAGGTGGATTTTCCATTATGGAAATTGTACTAAGAAAAATGTTCATCTCAGTGTAGATCCCCTTGATCACTTTACATAATTCTTGACACTCCTCTGCCCACCTCCCTTCTATTAAATGTCTCAGAGATGAAAATCATCCTGTGATCATAATTAGATCAGGGAGATGTATCTCCTAATTTTTCTTATGTAATTTTCATCCTAGCCTAATTTTGTGATTATCTAAAGGTTTTTGCATTATCTTAGCCTTGGCTTCCAAACACACCAGAGTATTGAGAGCTGGCACTGTTACTGTTCCAGAAAGACGCTGCCCAAGGTGCCAAGTAAAGGACACGGGGCCATGTCTGACTACTCAGTGCAGGTGACACTGTGCACACAGACTCCGGCACCAGGCTCTCTGTTCCACAAGTGAACACAGCACTAGTGATCCCACCCTGAAATGTCCTCCAAGGGACAAAACTGAAAAGTGTCTGAAACATGAAGATCCGACTATTAGGTAACATGTCAAACTTTTTAAAGGAAAAATTTCATATGTCTTTTATATCATCAATAATATGTACAGTTTTGTAGCTGTTCATTATTATTGGCACACTGTACCAGATTTTATAGGTATTATTTTTAATACAGTGGGGCCTTGACTTATGAGTTTAATACGAGTTTAATTCATTCCAAGACCGAGCTCATTAACTCAAATTACTCTGTCAACTCAAAGCAAAAAATTGGCTGAGAAACAGCTGGTATCTCAAAAAACTCGTTAGTTGGGACACTCGTAAGTCAAGGCCCCACTGTATTCTCCAAAATGTTATGTATGTATAAATGTATTTTTATTATTATTTAAAAGATGAGCAAATCGAAGTTCTCAACACTATGGATTTCTGCTCAACATAGGACTGGGTTGGAAGGTGGGAGCAAGGAAAGCCAATGGCACCTCACATATGCACCAGCCTTGGGCACTGAGGAATTTCTGACTTGCACGCATGGGCATTCACTGGTATTCAGTAATCCAACTCTTTAGTAATTCCATACTATCCATCTCTTTTTGGCATCTCACAGACTTTGTCATTCCAGGTTAAAGGGAATACAATAGATACTAAGCCTTGGTGGTGAAGATATACCCTCACCCACCCCAATGTCCTGTAGGCGTCTATTAGCTCCAGAAACTTGGGTTTCTCTGTGGATGCTCCCCAGTCCAGCATGGACTATATAGTGCCGTGGCTATTTTCTGGACACACTTCCTGCCTTGGTCCCACTTCTTTCCTGGGCTTCCAGGTCTCCCTCCCCCCCAGCTCCTCTGCACAGCCCCATCTCACTGAGTCTCCGTGCTGAAGAGGAACTCGGCCTGGGTGCCCTGCGTGTTGTGCAGCAGGAAGAGTCGGAAGAGGTTTTTGTGAGGTCCATGTAGCTTCATTTCACACTTTTCCCCCCGAATAGAGGAGAAGGGAGCATGGTCAAACACCAGGAATCGGCCACCCCTGCAAAATACAAGGCTTTTCAACCAGATTCTAGAGTTGTCATACTTCATCCACCCTCAGATCTTAGGATCCCAAGTCCTTGTCCTTAGCATATGTAGCCTGCAAATTCTCATACAAACCATACGATGCTGCTTACTCTCAAGATGGTAGCTCCAGCATCTCCAGGTATGTGTCACTAGCTTGGCAAACCGCATATCTAATATCATGGATACTTCACCACTTTAAAGAGTTGCAGAGACAGACCAATATAAATTTTCTAAGACCCTGCGGATCTGGAATTGGCTAAGTATTTTTAGACTAGTAGGCTCAGCCTAGTCCAAAGAAGCCACAAACTAACCGATTGGGAAAGTGATAACTAATTTGTTGCATTTTGCTCTGTGTCTATAATATGGTACAGGTCTTGCAATATGATCTTGTGGCATATTTGGTGGGATCCCCTTTTTTGCTTTAGATCTTTCTCTTTCTTCTCTATACCATGACCTGGACTCCATGGGTTAGGCCAGTGATGGTGAACCTATGACATGCGTGTCAGAGGTGACACACGAACTCATTTTTTTGGTTGATTTTTCTTTGTTAAATGGCATTTAATTATATAAAATAAATGTCAAAAATACAAATCTTTGTTTTACTATGGTTGCAAATATCAAAAAATTTCTATATGTGACATGGCACCAGAGTTAAGTTAGGGTTTTTTCAAAATGCTGACACGCCGAGCTCAAAAGGTTCGCCATCACTGGGTTAGGCCATTGAGAAGGGTTCCTCTAGGATTCCTCTAGGGTTCCTCTCTGTCCCTTTCTGTCCTCCCCTCTTGCCTCTCCCATTTTCCTCTTGTGGTCTGTCCTCCCATTCCAATCACTGACTCTCGGGGCCGAGACAGCAAGAGACAGTCATTGAAGAGATGCAGGTGGACTGGACGTGTGTTCAGTTTCCTTCGCAGCCCTGGGGAGACACTGGACTCCAGGGCAGCCAGCTCGCCACTCTTCACCAGCCAGCGTGACTGTGAAATGAGCGGGAATATCTGTAGGGTAGAGGAGGGCAGAGAAGGTAGTTCTCAGATCGAACAAGCACAAGGCTCCCTTTTAGCCCTGACCACCTCACCATGCCCCTTTCTCATGAGGTCCACTGACAATCATCTCTTCCACATCTTCCCTCTTGCTCATACCCACCCCTTAGACTTTGCTTCCCTGTGAACCCTCCAACCATCATGTAATGGTACAGCTCCCATGTCCATAACTCAGGCAATGGAAGGTACCTGTGGTCCAACACCAAATAGTGACCATGTGAGAAAGCTCAGCCCTAGGAAACCTGAACTGAAGAAGGCATGGAAAAGCCCAATTAGGGCATGTAGTGGAAGAAGGCAGGGAACACTATGTGTGTGTCTTAGAAGTTAAAAGATTTGGACAGTTCTGATATCTGTTCTTTCTTTTATTATAACCAGAGACATGAGAGGAGTAGCTGGGATCCGAAGTGGGAATGGGATTAAGGAGAACAAGGAAGAATCTGCTTGGAGCTGGAATTTGGGCAAAGATAAGGGTAGAAACTAAGATAGATATGGGGATCAGAGGTATTCCCTCTCTTAGGGAAATAAGAATGGCACCTGCTCTGAGTTGGAATTTAAATGTGGAATGTCTATTGTAGATTTGCATTTGGATGGGAGACTTGGCCATAGATTTGGATTCAATTTTTTATTGGTTGGGCTACACTAGATTGAGATGATAAAATATTGGTTGGTTGAAGAACCAAAAATATCTATATCTAATAATAAAAGTGTAATATGCTAATTAGACCGGATGTCCTTCGAACAAAGCCAGGGTTGCAAGGGAAACCTGAGTCCTGGGTGCCTACTGGCAGCCAGAGGGAAGCCCGGGTCCTGGGTGCCAGAGGGAAACTGGTGCCAGCAGCCAGGGGAAGGAAGGCCTACACTTGCACGAATTTCGTGCATCGAGCCTCTAGTATATATATTAAAGCCTAAGCAACTGTTCGACCGTTCGCTATGACACGCACTGACCACCAGGGGCCAGACACTCAATGCATAGGCATGAAAACATGGAACAGACTGATGAATCTCAGAGGGAAGAGGGAAGGGGGGAGGATGGGAAGAGATTAACCAAAGATCTTATATGCATACTAGAGGCCCGGTGCACAGATTCATGCACCAGTGGAGTTTCTCAGCCTGGCCTGCAGGGATCGGGCCAAAACCAGCAGTCCGACATCCCCCGAGGGGTCCCAGATTGCAAGAGGGTGCAGGCCAGGCTGAAGGACCCCCACCGATGCACGAATCCGTGCACTGGGCCTCTCATATCTTTATAAAGACTTGAATTGATAAGTTCTCTTTCATCTGCCCAGTTCCCAGGTGCACACTATGCCCCTCAGGTAACTTCTTTATTTCTTATGTCTCCTCCCAGAGTTTCTTTACAAGCAAATGCATGTACAGATTTGTACCCTCCTACTTTTCCATCAAAGGTAATACACACAGTTCTTCTGTATCTCCCCTTTTCTACTTAGTGGGGTATCATGGAGAATAAAGTAGGCATTTGGGCACCCCAGAAATAGGACAGAACAGAGGCATGCAGACTGAGGTTAGAGACTGGCATGGTGAGAGCCAGAGGGCTCTGTGTTAGCAGGTGACCTGCTGACATGCCGAAGACTCACTCACCTTGCATTCAAACTCAATCTTCTGGCTCAGGTAGATGAGCTCCTCCGTCCGGCGCATTCTCTGGACGTTGTTATTGCAGTCCCGGATCAGCTGCCAGGAGACAGGGTGAGGAAAGAGGAAGGGCACTGTGTTAGAGGTTTGACCTTTGAGGCCCTGAAAGAAATCTGGAAATCAGTAGTTGTGACAGCTTTTCCACCAGGCTTGACCTGCATGCAGGTGGTATCTAGGTAACGTTTCAGGACTCTTGGTGTACTTGCTATGACAGGGTCAACATTCCTGGGCTGAGTGAAAGCAAGATGGAATTTGGAGAGTGCCTGCAGTGTCCTCATGGTGGGAGGAGGCTGTGGGTGCGGAGGGAGGTTTGGTGGGTGCAGGAGGTGCCTGGGTAATCCCATCAGCAGTGGCCATGGACGTGGGCAGGGGAAGACTTCTCCATGAGGGGAACTGTGGGTCACCTACCTCCTCCAGAGCATGGTGCGCCTTCGTGGCCTCTGCTTCCTCTGAGGAGCCAGGCTGTGTTCTCTTCAGAATGTTCTATAGAACAAACAATAGATAGCAGCCAGATGGAAGAAGGGTGGAAAACAGGAAGAGATGATGGGGTGGGCCATTGGGAGAGGTCCAGGAACAAAATTTTAGTAGCAAATTAACCCTGAGAAAGAAGGGTGTGGGTGGTGGGGAGACTGCGCACTTTGTCCACAGGGTGTAGGACAGTGCAGAAGGGCCAGTCCTGTGTTGTGGGGCTTCCTGAAATCACCCTTTTGAGTTGAGGAGAGAATCCCAGGTGGGGTCTGTACCTGGAGCAGCAGTTTGAGACGGGTGATGCGCTGGAATGGCAGGATCAGAAAGGACTTGAGGGACAGGCGCTGGCAGACAGGGTCGCTCTCCAGCCTCTCTAGGACCTCACGGAAGCTGCTGTTGGTGCTCCTGTCAGACAGCAAGTGGGTAAGGAGGGTGGGGAATAGTGGGCCACAGGGAAGGCATGCGGAGTGGAGACACAGTGGAATGTTTGTGGGTCAGGGAAGGATGGTGAGATCCAATGACATGGGGCTGAGACCTAAATGGTCCAGGGCCTGTGATCTGGAAGGCACTGAGGCTTGAGATCACAGAACGGGCACAGAATATGTGCTCAGGTGACAGCACTCTGGATCAGGGGTTGGAAGTTTGGGTGCAAGGTCACTACCAGGCCCACACAGGGACTGAACGGGGTTTGGGTCTCACAGCAGAGTTTGGAAGGTGCGTTCCTGGTAGGTCTGGTTGGTGACATAAGGCAGGTAGACCCGGCGGAAGTGGGAGGCATGGTTCAGGACTACATCACACACGTGGAAGGTGAAGATGTTGTTCTCAAAGTTCTCCTCCAAGTCTGAAAGGAACCTGCACAATATTCAAACAAGTCTCATGAGACCTGTGGGTCTCAAGTGAGCAGCTGGCTGAGCCCTGCTCTACCTTGATCTGTGACATCTCTCAGTTAGTGAATAACTTCTGTCCTTTGCTCTGTGCCCTTGCTCTGCACTTATGTTCTCTCCGAGGCTGCTCCTAGTTTTCCCATGATCTAACACTCTGGTCCTAATATTCCATTTCTTGTTATTTTCTGGAATATGTTCTGGTTTTCTAACCTTTAGATGCTTCCCAAATCTCGTCTCCAATGCACTGCGTACCCACAGTACATCCAAAACTCAACCCAGGAGGCATCTCTCATTAATTTGTTCATCCACCAATGGCTCTATCCATCCAGGACCCTCTCCTCTACTATTTCCTCCTCTCCCTACAGCCATTGGGAATCTCAGAGGGAGCAGTGAGAGGATTTCTGAGAAGGAAAAAGATACCTACTGAAGGTTTATAGGCTAAAGGCGGAGTGAGTAGCATTTGGGAGAAGAGGTGTCTTACGTGGCACTGACATCACGCACGTCCTGTAGACGAGAGAAGAGCCACTGCTGGTCTTGGTTGGAAAGGATGGCCCGGAGCTGGGGTGAATGCTGGAAGTGATCCACAGCTATGTTCAGGCTGCGCAGGTAGGAGGCCTCTGACACAATCAGCTCAAATTTGGCCTAGGAGTTGGGGAGGAGGAAGATTAATGTGCAACACATTTTGAGTCCCTGGTGTATGTTTTAGGGGTAGAGTGGTGAACAAGACAGATCCGTCTGTAGCTGACCGTGACAGTGAAACCTAACCTGGTATCAGGGAGAGGGAAGGTGCATCGAAGCCAAGGGGAGAACATGTGCAGACCCCAGAGGTGTAATAGAGAAAGATGCTTTCCAGAAACTTACACTGAACATTTGCAGAACCATGTACTAAAGTAGGGGCAGGAGAGGAAGCCAGAGAGGCAAACATGGCAGTCTGGAGGGTTAAGTGAATAAGGCAAAGGAGTTTGGTGGGCTTCATACCACAGAAAAACAAAAAGAGGCTCTATGTAGGGGAATAACTTGACCATCAATGTGTTTCTAAGCACAGTGTGGAGAAAAGATTAGAAGGGGCAAGAGAGCCATGTTAGGAAACTGCCGTATTAAGTCCAGGTGAGATGAAGGCCTAAATAGCCGTGAGAATGGGAAGGGGCCAGTTTCATGACTATTCAGGAGGGACACAGGGAAGGACCTAGTTATTTGCTAGAAATGGACTCTAAATGAGCAGGAAGAGTGCCAGCTAATGCCTCAGTTTTTGAGTTGGGTAACTGGGAGAATGAGCCAGAGAACTCAGAGATTCATTTGTGTCTGTGTCTTGGTCCTGACATTCTGACTATGTGGCTTTGGGTGGCTCATTTGATCTCTCTGAAGCTGTTGTCTTGCCTTTTTGGGCAGGGACAGTGACCCAACCTCACAAACATGTGACAGTCAAAAGAAATGGAGTCAGTGAAAGCATCTTACAGACCCTAGAAGTGCTATTTTATGAAAGAAATATGCGCTTATAAGCACAGAGGCCTGTCTTCTCAGAAATGTGAGACCAGCTGGCCCTGGAGCCACGTGGACGTATGAGGATGCTGGAGATGCTGAAAGGGAGCTGGGTTCGAACCAGCTCCCAGGGTCTGGTTCACAAACACGGGGCAGAGAAAAAATGATTTTCTAAATATCCTCCAGATATTTTGGAAGTTGAGGTCAGAACAGGGTCCCCCAAGTCTGAGCTTCAAAAATCCTAAAATTTATATTTGTCTGTTTGACTTGGTAGAAGCATTGTTTATCCATAAGTCCTTCTGGCCCAAATGTTTCTCCTTCCCACTTCTGAAAGGGGTGAGTATGCCACTAATGCATATCAAACAATGTGCCACACACTCTGTTTAAAGCTAGATACGTGTCATTTCACTTAAACCATGTAGCAACCCTGAAAGGTAGGTATTCATTATCTTCAATTTTTAGATGAGGAAACTGGGACTGAGCAGTTATATAATTTGCCTGAGGTGACACAGCTAGTAAATGGCAAGGCAAGGCTTTAAACCTGGGTTGGCCTAACTCGAAATTAAAGTCATGAACATGCTTTGAATAATTACTATATATTAGAAACTTATCTTTTTTTTTTTTTTTAACTCTCCCAGTACCTCTTTGCAATGCAATTTTACAAATGAGGAAATAGAAGTTTAGAAAGAGCAAGTAATTAGGCCAGAGTTAAATAACTGGCAAACATTAAAGTGGGCTTCCAGGTCATTTACTCTGAAACCTTAATACTTAGACATTATTCCAGGAAACCTTTACATTGTACTAGTTTATCTTCCTGGGAAGAAAAGTTTATCCCAGGCTGGTTATCAGCAAAGCTCTCCAGATAAAACCCATTCATGGTAACATCAGACACACAGCCTCTACTACAGTTTTGCTTTGGGGCTAAGGACCAAGCAGAGACTGATGGTCATTCAAAAGCCTCTATGAGTCCAATGGACCACAGGTCAAGCACAAGGGGCACTCGGCCTTCAAGGGATACAACAGAAAGCCCCTGGTGTGCCTTGGTTGAAGTAGCAATCTTTAGCGGAGCCTGAAACCATGGTTCAAGATGGAAATTTCTGTCTAGCCTGAAGCACTAGTGATGGGATTAATTCTACACCTGGCCACTTTGTATGAGTCTGAACCAACACCAGGTAGCAGTAAATGGCCATGGCATAAGGAAGTGGAGAGGCAGGTGGGTGATGATCTTCAGAGAGCAATTGAAGTCCGTTGGAGTGGAGATGGCTGACAGCTTGGGATGCACGAGTGTGTGGTGATGGTGGAGGTGGTGGTGGTGGTGGTAGTGGAGGTGGTACTGATGAGGAGATAGGACGTGAGCCTCCCTTCCTGCATCCCTCTCTCTTGCCCCCACCCTGCTCTGTTGGATACCTCTTGCAGTTTTTGGTCTTCATGGGTCATGGAGAGCAGCACAGTGCTATTGCGCACCACAGGGATCTCCTGCCAGAGGGAGCTCCTGGAGGCCATGGAGAGGCGCTGCAGGTAAGACTCTGAGGACACCAGGACCTTTCGGGGCTGCCGGGGGGAGGCGGGCCCAGAGGCCTCTGCCAAGCTGTCCAGCCGCTGCTGGCTCTGAATCTCCTTGTTCAGAACCACATCGCTGTACTCCTGGTAAAGCAGCTGGGCTGTGGGGGTGAAGCAGTATGGGAGAGGGAGAGAATTAGGGAGACAGGGGAATTAGGCATGGAGACAGAAGCACACAGATTAAGCACTCAGCCAGAAGCCACCAGACTTCTTCTGGCTCTCCTGGCAGTTTTCTCTTCCTGTAGGTGTCCCCAACCCCTGCTGGCAGCCATAAGCCCCTCCCCAGTCTTGGGCACAACACCTATGTGCATCCATAGTTCTGTTTCAATATACTCACAGGAGTTGATGAGCTTTGAGCAGCGTCTTGAAAAGCCTCCCATCACCTCCTTTGGCTTTTTCTCCCTGTGGAGCAAAGAAGGGCTCTGGGGTGCTTGCTGGCCCTTAGATACCGAGGAGCCCCAGGTAACTATAGACGGGATAGTCTCTAACCTCTAACCTCTGGGACGTATGCTGGGATGTCAGGGCCAAGTCCCCTGACCCATTTTGGGGTAGTTTGGAGCTTTCTTGGATGTCATGTTGAATTTTTACAGGGGGTTTAGTTCATGGCTAAAGGGCCTAGAAGGATGGAAAATTAAGACTTAGGTAACAAAACCAGATAGATCAAAGGATACCAGGCTCCCTACCCTGGTATCCTGGTGTCTGTCTCTTCCTCTCCTTCCCTCTGGAAGAGACAGGGTCCCAGAACCTGTGTGAACTAACAGAAATCTCAGTGTCCTAAGAAAAGAGAGTACAAGTGTGCTGGTTGGGAGGGATGACTCACCGAAAAACAATGGAGTCTGAAGGGCCAGGGGGCTTTTCCGTGGCTGGGCCTCTTGTATCTGAAAAGGGAAATGGATGAAGTAACTGAAGTTTCAGAGGAACATTCAGAGATAGCTGAAGAAAGTAAGACATAGAGAGATGTAGGCACCTGGGGAGGGGAAAAAAGGCTGATCTGGGAATCTGTGAGGGAAGTGCCAAAGTAGAAAGCATCTGATGACATGACTGGGAGGTATGAACAGATCCCTCATGTCAGAATGTATATTGAACAAGGAGATGATGTCTTCTCTACTACGAGGAGGACATCAAGAGGTGCTGGTAACTGGAAAGTGGGGTGTGTTTGGGGGTAAGAAAGAGTGTCCACAAAAACCTTAGGAAATGTGACACACAATGAAAACACCATGGTTGGGTGACAGATGGAGATGCAGGGAAGGAGAAGGAAGAGCATCACAGTGAGCTCAGAGGCTTCCAAGGACTTCCCTCTGTGTTGGGGTTGGATATGTGGGTGAGTGAAGCCAGCAGGGGGAATAGGAGGAGCCCTGGGACAGAAGATGGATGAGGTGGTAAGAGCTACAGAAAGCTTGGTCTGATGAGTGCTCCTTGCTCACCTGAAGAGCCCTCAGGTAAGATGGAAGGTCTGCGCAGGCCTTGCCGATGCCAGCCCTTGTGCTTACTGGAGTCCTCACCAGAGATGGCAGCCTGTTCACCACTGCCCTGCGGTGGTCTCCCTGTGTCCCGCCTGTGGGGCCAGCTGGATGCCTTCTCCAGGTGGGGATGGCTGGGTTTTTCAGGCTGCCTTGCTCGACCTATAGCCGACCTCCTCAGGCCACTGGCTCCTTCCTGAGGGTCTGTTCTTCTTAAAGATCCTTTGGCAGGGGCCTCTGACTCTTCTGAGAGCCCTGGTTCAGAGGTGGGTTCCTGGAGACCCATAGTCCAGGGGGTGTTTGGGGAAGAGGGACTTGGAAGGCTCGTCATGTTGCTGAAAGCTATGTCAGGGGATACTTCACTCTTTCTCCTACTGGTGGAAGCCAAAGAGTCTGTTGATCTGCCCATGGCTGGGGGCCAGGAAGTACGTCCTCCAGAGTGGGGACTGGAGACTGCCCACTCTTGACCAACAGGCCTGGGCTTGGCTTGACCCCCTGAATTCATGAGTGCCTGCTGAATGCTCTTGTTCCTCCCTCTGGCCTTTGGGGGTAATGGTGGTGGTTCAGTGAGGGGATTTATGACAGGAACAGGGGGTAGAGGCCTGTAGATCCTTGGACTATTATGAGAAACGGGAGAATGGTGGGGCTGAAACAAATCAGGAGTTGGGGGTAATGGCTTGTTGTATCTCAGCCTTGGGGAGGAAGAAGTCCGACTATGGTGGGAATCATCTGGGGTAGAGGGCAGAGGTCGGTACTGCCTTGCCACATGGGGGTCAGGAATTTCAGGAAGTGGAACTTTGGGGGGGCCACATAGCCCTGAACTTAGGGCCAATGGAGGGTAGCTACAGTGCCTCAGTGTGGGGACCGCTGCACTGAGATGGCCATCTCTCTCCACCTCGGAGGTGTGGACATGCCTCTTCTTTGGAGGAGCAGGAGGTGGAGGTTCATGCAGCCTGGTATCTATGAAGACAGGTGAAGAGCCATATATAGGAGACCCTGGGGCAAAGGCTGAATTATGTGGGGAGCCCCATGGCTGGCTGCCGTGGGGACTGCTGGGCCTGTGTGAATCAGAGGTAAAGTCTCCAGAGTCATGCCCCAGAGTGGACAATGAACTAGGGAATTCTGGAATAACGCTGCAGTCCCTACTGCTTTTCCTGTCCCTTCTTGGGTTCACAGAGCCATGGATGGCAGGTTTGGGAGGTCTCTGAGGCAACTCTGAATGAGAGAAGGAAAGTGATCGTCCCACCAGGTCCGGAGCCAGCTGTGTCCTGTGAGAGCCCGGGAAAGAGTTGCTCAATAGGTGCTGGATGGCCCCTGTGAAGTCAGCTAGGGGGCTCTGAGGAATGGCCCCATTGGAGCTTCCTTGTGGGTCCACGGTAGCCTCTGCAGAGGGAGAGCCGGGGAGGGCCGCCAGGAGAGTCTCAGAAGCCCCACAGGCAGATGGGATGTCGGTGGAGAAAGAGGTTCTGGTAGTTTCTGGAGAATATGCAGCCAGAGAGGCCTTTGTCCTGGGGATGGCAATTGGGGGGCTGGCAGCCAGCAAGGCGGCTCCGCTGGGGGAGACTTCAGCAAATGTGGAGGGAGCTGAGTCTGGTGAGTTTGGAGAAGTCTCAGGTGCACCAGCAGAGGCCACCTGGGGCCTCCCACTGGATGCTGTCCCTGTCCCCAACTGGGAACCCTCTGGCTGGGGGTCCTGAGCTATTTCTTGAGCAGGTGGCCCCCCAGCAGGAAAGAAGCGAGGTGAAGGATTGGACTGACAGGAACATCCTATTGGCTCCAGGGTAGGAGTCTGAGCTATGGGACAAAGCTCCTCAGCCCTAAACTCTGTCTGAGAACCAGGAATCCTGGCATTACAAGCATCTGGGAACAAGTCACAGGGAGAATAAACCTTGGGGGCCAGTGTGGGAAGACCATCATGCTCTTCCTCCTCCTCTGCAATCCTCTCTCTTCCCACTCCCCCCAGTGTGGCCCCATCCCAACCTTCTGCCTCCTCTTCCTCCTCCTCTGGCATCAGTGTCCCTGGCAGACTTTGATGTTCTTGCCTTCCAGGTACGTTCACTGACCACCTGGCTAAGCTTTGATACTCCTGGTACTGAGCACCCATCCTACTCTCCTCAGGCCCCTTCAACTCCCTCTTCCTCTGTTCACCCACTTCCAGATCTTCCTGGCCCTGAGTCCTCCCCTCCCACTCATCACAATTCACACCTCCTGATTCCTCATTAGGCTCCTCCCTTTCTCCTTGTTTTGCAAGCACCATATCATCTTGCATCTGTCCCTGTTTTTGCCTCTGTCCTCCCTGTGTACCATTAACCTGTTCCCCCATCTGTTCCTGCTCCCCTAGAAGCCCCTCAGAACACACAGCCTCCCCCAGGACTTCCCCCTCTTCTTGTCCCTGCAACTCCAGCCCCTTGGCCTCCTGGGGACACACAAGCCTTTCTTTCCCTCGACTTTCCTGCAGCTCCTCGCCCTGCCTGGCAGTCCCACTTTCAGAGTCCTGCAGGGAGTCGGTCTCTACAAAGTGCTCTTCACAGGAAGATGAACATCTGGCTCGAGCAGAGGCATCTGGAGAAGCTTCCTCTTTCTCTGCTGCTTGTCCAGTCCCCAACGTCAAAGAAGGGAATTCTGGTCTGAGTTCCACCTCCAATCTGCTGCGCAGTTCACTGCATAGTGGGGTCATGTTCAGATGTTTACCCTGGACAGGGCAGGCCCAGTGCTCTGGAGGAGCTGGTGTCCTTGCCTGTCTGTCTGCCAGGCTCGCGGGCACTGCTTTCTGGCACTCTGGGGTGTCCCAGGCCTCGGCCATAAGGTTTTCCTGCTTGGTCTCCACATCCAAAGGGGCCTCCTTGGGGAAAGAGGTCATACTCTCAGTTGCACAATCATTCACATCTCTTAAATCTCTCTGCTGGGTCTCCCAGAGTCTGCTTTCCTCTGCCCACGTATAGGGTGGGTCCCGGCCTTCTTGAGCTTTGGGCCCCACGGCAGGGGGCTGGCTGCTTCTCACGAGAGCTTCAGGGATAACACTGAATTCTGCTACAGCAGGAATGGGAGCCGGTGCTCCACTCCGGGGCTCCGCAGCCTCCATCGGGGCTGAATCCTAAAGAGGCATAAAAGACAAAGTTTCTATCACCTCTTCTGCTTTTAACTATCAGAGGGGCAGACCATGAAGAACAAGAGTGGGACATTTCTTTGGTTCTCCATAGACTCATTCTTTGAGACAAAAGGTAGACAACAAAATAAGCAATAGCCTCTATAAAACTTGTCATTTATTTGTCCATTTAATAAGTATTTAGCAAGTGACCCTTTCAAGTGGGGGACATTCGGTAGTGAAGGAGATAATGTCCTCATGGAGCCTGCAGTCTTGTGGGAGAGACAGATAGGAAGTGATTGAATTAGAGCCTCATTGTCAGAGTGCCAAGTTCCCCAATGGTCATTCCTCCTAGATGGTATTATGTCATATTGTCTCTCCCTGTCTACTCTCTGGACATCAAGAGTGACTCAGGCCTATGTAACTCCCAGACACTGAGTGACACACCCAAGGTCTAACAGCACGAGAAGCAGTATTTCAGGGGGACCTTCCTCCTCATCTGCTGATGGGGGTTAAAATAGGTCTGGTCATTATAACCCATGTCCAAGGCAAAGTGTAGTGTAACCGCCTTTATACTGGGTCTGGACTGTGCTCATCTCATTTTTCATAGTGTCTAGCACAGCCCTGTAACTAATTAACAATTTTGTTTTCAATTAGAAAGGCAGCTGTCATAAAGCAGAATGACTTGTTAGATAGAACTGAAGGGATACCGAGGTTACCTGCTTCAAGTAGGTCCATAAAACTGTGTTACTCTCATTATCTTACTCTTTCTCTCCAATAACCTTGTGAACTCTTCTCATTACTCATCAAAATATTGACCTTCCCACCCCTGCTCTCACTTCAGCAAATTCTTCGCAAAATATTGAGAAACCAAAGGAAAGGAGAATGTGGAGAAACCAAAGTTGCTCCAGTTTCTTGCAACTCAGAGAGACCTGCGTTTTGCTCTCTCCATCTTTCCTCCTCCAACAGGGCAGGCGTCTCTCCTCTCAAAGCACCACCTTCTTCAGACTTCCTTCTCAGGGACCCTATGCTATGGGTGACCTTCCTCTCACCATCACCTCTGCTAGAATCATCCCACCAGCATTTAAGCATGTCCATACCTTTCTCATTTTTCTAACCTGTAAAGGGAGTTGCTCATACCTGCTGTCTTCACAGCCTCACATCTCGCCTGCGTCTCCTACAATCTTCTAGTTGTTAACTCCAAAGGAGACTCTATGAATGCTTATTTTGGAGGTTCTTGTCAGTATTTGACACTACCAACATTAGAAATACTCTCTTTCTTGTTATCTGTGAGACTACAACTTACTGATTTAACCTCTTACATTTTCCCCAATCCTCTAACTACGTTACTGTGCTCCTCTTTGTAGCACTTATCAATTATAGTGCACTTTTCTTCTCCTCTGTAGCATTTACACAATTATGATTATTATATAATTACTAGAGACCTGGTATTCGTGTACCAGTGGGGTCCCTCAGCCTGGCCTGTGGGATCGGGCTGAAACCAGCTCTCTGACATCTCCCAAGGGGTCCCAGATTGCAAGAGGGTGCAGGCCAGGCCGAGGGACCCCACTGGTGCACAAGGGGCTGGGGAAGGACATGGGAGGTTAGCCAGCCGGGTAGGGACTGCGGAAGGGCTCCAGGGCATGTCTGGCCCATCTCGCTCAGTCCTGAGCTGCCAGACCCCAGCAGCAAGCTAACCTACTGGTTGGAGTGTTTTCCCCCGGGTGGTCAGTGCACATCATAGCGACTGGTCGACCGTCTGCCCCCTGGTGGTCAGTGCACATCATAGTGAGACGTTGAGCAGCTTTAGCATATCATTAACATATTATACGTTGATTGGTTGAATGGCCGACTAGACGACCGGACACTTAGCATATTAGGCTTTTATTATATAGGATGTGTGTATTCTGATTTACCATCTATCTCAAACAATAGGTGGTAAATGTCCTGAGATAAAGAACTACATCTGTGCTGCTCAAATATCTTTACATAGCTCTCTACCTGGCCTGTACTAAGTGTTCAATAAATACCTTTTAATTATAGAATAAATTCTTGTTTCTCTCTTGGCCTACATTTCCCATATCTAATCTAGCTACCAAGTCCTATTAACCCCATCTCCTCAATATCCTTCAAGTCTGTCCTCTTCTCTCCAAATCCACTGCTAGACCTTACACAGGCTGCTGTCCTCTCTCACTCAGGCCACTGCACTTGGAGCAGAGCCTGGCCACTGGCCTCCACATAGCTTCTCTTGCCCTTTCCCAAGGCATTCTCTACCCAGCACTTGACTGAGTCTCAAAAGCCCCACTTATAATTTAAATTCTTCAATAGCCTCTAACTGCCAATAGGATGAAATACAAATATCCAGCATGGGTTATGTACCCTCCTCAACCTGGCCTCTGCCTACCTCTTCCCCCTCCTCAGCCCCCACCCCACTGGCTTTCAGTCCCTCTGGCTCACCTCCCTCTCTCCTCTAGGCCTTCAGTGCTGCTCCTCGGCCTAGAATCCTCTGCTCCTACCCCAGAGAAGCCTCTACTTTCCACACTCACTGCACTTGGAATTACATATTTAGTGTCTGTTCTCATAAGGGCACAAAAACTGCAATGTTAACTGCTTAGCCCCCTCTGCTTGAAGCTTAGTTGGCCCTCAACAAAGATTTATTGAGTGGATGAATGGAGGAAGGAAGAATGCAGAGGTGAAAGAGTGCTGTTCAATTTCCAGTTCTGCCTTTTTGTTATCTTGCTAATTTTAAAGCAATTGTGAAAATCACTTAAACATCCATTTTCTTATCTTTATAAAAGGGAAAGATATTTTCTTTGCAAGGAATTCTAATGAAAATTAAGTACGACAGTATAAAAAGTGCATTGTTAAATGTAAGGATCATAAAAATGTTAGGGATTGTAATTATGGTTGATGAGAGAGAATAAGTGTAAGAGAGAAATACAGGACTTATGAGCTGGGAGGACCTTCAGAGACAGACAGAAAACTGCTTAAGTTAAATGAGGAACCTGAAGGTCAGATAATCTAAACACTTGCTCACATAAGCAATTGGTACAGGTGAACTCAAACCAAGGTCTTCTGACAACTCAACTATAAGCAACTAGAAGTTCAGGTGTAAGAAAGCTGGAAGGTCACCAGCCTGGAGAGACCTCAGGGGCCCATGGAATACACAGGTGCACCTGGACCTGCACCCTCCTTGTCTGGTCTGGGCTTAAAGTGGAAGCCCACCACCCAAATGTCCACTGTCCTGCTAAGGTATTGCACTTGTGCACATGCTTGCACAAGCACCCATCCACATGCTCATACCTGCATGTGCACACACACACACACACACAAAATGAGCCACCCTTGCAGTTTCTACACAATAGAGACTGACATAACCAAACAAGCAGGTCCCTAAACACCCTACAGATGTGATAAGTATGTGACAAGTTCCTGGCCACCCCATAGACACAAATACCATCTATACAGGGCAAAGAGCCACCATGTCTAACATAAGCACACTTGCGTAGAAGGGTTTTTATATCCTTTTCCAGTTAATTGACACAGTGTAAGATTTGCTCCCTAAGTCTAGCCCTAAGGACAAAATACTATAATCACTATGGATACTGTGATGTGACCCTATTCTCTCAACCTCATGTTAAATAATATACTTGCTCAACGTAAGCACTTTATGAATCTTGGCTCCTACCTGCCTAAGGAGACAGTGTAACTAAATCTGTAGTCTCCCCTCACCCACAGCTGTATTGTCCTGGCCCTATACCCATACACACTGCCATGTCCTCAAAACAAACAGTCTCTAAAAATATGTGTGTTTCTGCTATATTTAGGCTACATCTGTATGCCCCATGGGCTACCTGGACATCTTCAGTTCCATACTAGTGACACAACGCACGTGTGCCTCCTGCAACCCCATTGACAGTATTTCTAACACAGTCTATCCATTTGGAAATATTGGTGGTTACCAGCTCAGACACCATTCCCTATACTTGATCCTGTCCTATTATAACCCTATTATAATCAGGCACCACAAACCTACAACATGACAAAGCTCTAGGAAATCTGCAAAGCACATAAAGACATCAGGAGAGAGTTTTTGCACTGCCCATTGTTACAGTTGCCTCCTCACCCCCTTCTCTATGGGGGCGAAGCTCAGTAACTGAGCACAGACAGATTGAGCATGGCACCTTCCAGACCAGACACATGTTGCATCTGCTGACCCCGTCCCACCTATGACTTCTTTCAAGACAAATCTGCAAGTCACCCCATTAACACAGTGTATGACAGAGCTCAGTATCTCCCTTGGATCCCCCAAACACCTTAGCTCTTGTCCATTTCTAGTCTGCAGACATAACACTATTTCAAAGACAGCCCCCTCACCGCCACCCACCTCCATCACACTGCTGCTTCTCCTTCGAACCCATGCTGCCTGCTATGTGTAGGTCTAAGTATCTGCTTCCTGGATTTTCTAGCAATGGCAGTTTCAAATATTCTGATCCACACCAAAAATCACTAAAACACTTGAGATTACAACACTTCTGCATTCATACTACATCGTCTATACTACTGCTTATCTTAGGAAAATACCCCCAAATCACTTTTTTTTAAATATAGAAACTGAGACTCCCACATAGATGGATGCCTTTATCAGTGTTTGACATTATTGCCCCCAATGCTACACATATATAAAAATTAGAGTAGCAATCTGGACCACTAACTGCAAAGACCTGTGCTCTATCCACTTTAGAAAAGCCCCACCATCCCAGTGAAAACTATAATAACCGGCTCTTATCTATTCCTAATGTCTGAGAATATCACAACCTCCACTGCCCTGCAGACCGCATGGGCCCGCACAGAACATCACCACTGGCAATGCTGACAGGCCCCACAAGCCCACTGTGGCCGCCCCCTGCCATCCAGACAGATTATGTGTGAGTGACTTCTTTGTGTCCTTAGCAGAGCCCCTGAGAGGTGACCTTGTTCTTGCCCACCTTGCAGACACTATAAATGACCAGCTCCTGTTCACTTCACAGACACAGTGAGTGGTTTACCCTGTCTACACCAGATGCTGTAAGCTACCTGACACTTGAGTAACACTGCTCTTGTTCAATCCATGGCCCTGTGAGTGGCCCATTCTTGTCCACACCACAGTGACTGACCACTCCAGACACCACAAATGACATCTTCTTGTCTATCCCAAAGACACCATGCTTGATGTGGCCACAGACAACCTCAGAGAGACCACACTGTGGTCAGCCATATACTCTTGGGACCCCTAGGACATGAAGACTCTTGACTATGTTTTGAATCACTGTTTTCTTTTGGTAAGAGGGATACCTTTGCACACCTCCTGACCTCTCTCTCTTCCCTACCATGATAATGACATACATTCCTCCTGCCAGACAGTCTCACTCAAAATTGACACCTACGTCCTTCCTCCTCCCAGCCCCACCCCCCAAGAATCCCCTCAGTAGACATGGCTTCAGTTTCAGGCCCACAGACTGGTTAACAAATGATTCCCATTTTGCTAGGATCTAGGCCAGTCTCTTCTTTCACTCTCTGGTGTAGCTAAAACAGGAAGTCTGAGAGAAAGGCCACATCGGGAGCTGTTGAGCTAGGAGCTGGGATTTCTAGAGTAGGCCAAGGATGCAGGGCCTTAGAATGACATGGGTGAAGCAAAAGAGGGAAGAGCTAGAAAAGAAAGCAACCCTCTCTCCCTTGTCTGTCTGACACACCCCTCTCCCTCAATCTGACAAGACTCCTGGCCAGAGTTCACTTTGGTAGACAGAAGGGCAAACCTGCCTTGGGAATCCAAGATCCAGGAAGGGGAGAAGGGACTGACATCTGAACTAGCTCAGGACTAGCTGAACTGGCATCAGGACTAGCTCTCTGAGGACAGTCTTGCTGAAGGCAATTTTAAATGATGCTCAGAAGGAGAGCCCCAAGCCCAACTATAAACAGCTCCCTTCCCACCTCCCCAAGTTGAGAATGCAAATTGTGCTTGACAGGAAACTTTGGAGGGACTCCCCAGATATGGGGAACCAGGGAAGGGGGCCAGGGCAGGAGTCATTTTTACAGGTGAAAGTACCTTGGCTAGCAAGGGAAAGGTAAATATGGAGACATACACAGTGTGCGAATCCATAGGAAGGTAAGGAAGGAAGGCCCAGGCCTAGTTAAGAAAAAGGAGATAATAAGACATCCACAGGTGGGGAAAACGTTCCACAACCGAGTCTCAGTAACCCCTTATTATAGGGTCAGCTCTCCCCAGGGCCGAAACTTGGAAGAGTCCTATTATTGGCCTGGAGAACATCTGGGGGCAGGGTGCCCAGTTCCAAGGAAGGGGCCAGGCCGGAAGCGAATTTTTCAGGCAAGAGCATTTCCTCCAGCTTCCCTCCCCTTCCTGACCAAGATAGTCACACGCCCCAAACTCTGCCCATCTGCCCAGCCCCCCATTTCCGGAGCCTGCGCCCTGGGACCGGGCTGGGGCTGGCCCCAGGGTAAAGGCCTAGTTTCCCGTCCTGGCCGACCCTCCCTTACCTCCGCCAGGACTCTACAGCCGCCAGCCCAGAGCCAGGAGCTGCGAGAGAGGAGGGCACCCACCTGGGCAGTGTCACATGCTGTCCCGGCACCAGAGTCCCTCCGGGTCCCAGGCGCCGGCCGGCCGTCCCCAGCACAGGCCCTGGAGGCCACCGC